GCATAGCGCTCATGAAGCAGCATGGGTGGCAGGCTGATCTGCGGGACCCCGATCTAGAGGTAGTGCTGCTTGTTTGCCAGATGGCCTGTTGCTGCTTCCAGAATTTCCTCTGATATCTTCTGGTTTGTTCTCTTCTCCCTTTGCACTCGGGACCGTGGCCTCTCCCCTGCTTGTCTTTCTGCTGCTGAATTTAACTAGAAATCGTCTGCTAGCACTGAGCAAAGCTTTTCAGTGGCCTGTGCGTGCACACCTTCCAGAGCACTGACGCTCCAGTCATAAATACCAGACTGGCCAGCATAGGCCTGTAGGTCAGGGGAAGGATCCATACAGGAGATGTCTCAGGGTCTGGCATGCGCTTACAAACTGCCGGACTCTGACTCTGTGGAAAACGGAGATCACCTGAGCCATTGGGCAGCTAGTTTAGCCTCTGTAGGGGAAGAGAGCGAGCAGCAAGGTTGTGTTCTTGAGGAACTTGACTTGAGAATGCCAATTATGGAAGAGCTTCCTCCTAGACCCTGTCCTTGACAAGCAGCTCGCTTAAGACACCTTCTATGGTGCAAGCTGTCTGGAGACCTTGGAAAGGACTCATTGCTGTTGACAAGCTGTTTCTCCGTCCCTGTGCTTGGGATATGGAGGCTGCTCTTGGCACTGATGCTGGGAGATCTGAGGCCTTCTGTAAAAAGCTCCAAGTTCATCTACTGTCTCTGGTTTTCCCAGGCTGTGCATCAAATATGGCTTCTTTGAGCCTCAAGTGGGGCTCTTGTTCTTGAATGGTTTCAGAGAAAAAAATCTGAACAAGTGCTGAGGTCTGGGATTTTTCAAAAGCATCGTGTTTCTCTTTGGGCTTCCTGGGGAGGGATTGCAGTCATGCAAGACCTGATGGGGAGCTCAGTCTCCTTTTTGGATGCTCTCTGTGGGACAGGAAGACAATTTCTTTGGGCTGACTATATTTTTATAACGATTTCCCACATTTGCCTTCCATCTAAAATGCCCCTTTGTGGCACTTCAAAAAAGGAAAAAAAAAAAAAAATCAAGGCTAGATGCATTGTCTTTAGTGAAACTATTAATGCTTTTTACTATATTCTCTTACAAGCAAGTTTGGCCTAGTAAACAGTGACTGTTGTTACCTACACTGGATTCAGTGGGATTTTTTTTTTTTTAAAGTGTGTGTGAATAACCGAGTGCCTATAGTATACAGTCAATAATCTCCTGCTTAGAGTAAATGGTTTTATAATTAAAAATATCCATTCGATGTTACAAAAATTGGTTCCCTTAAAGGTTCAAATGCTTGCCGATGGATTCCTGGCTGACAGAATTACCCTCCCAAATTGCTTAAATATTAAATTCTATTTGAAATGGCATTCAGATTACCTAGTGTGATTTCTTCCAATTAATCATAATTGCCTAAAGCGTGTATTTTTGTTCTTAAAAACTAGCATCAGAAGTTTGTAGAAACATCTTCTGTGTCTGGTTTAAATTAATTAAAGCTATTGTGTCAGGTTGAGAGTCTCTAATGTAATTTTTTTCCTCTTTCAGATCTTTGTACATCTTAATGACATTTACTCTGTGGTGGGGATTCCTCTTTTCAGGTAGGCATTCTCATAAGATTTGTCTTGGCAGTATCAGAACAGGCATAATTTCTAAGTCGTCTTGCTGTCCCCTGTGAGTATTTGTCTTCTGGTTTGATATTCATTGGACTGTCACATTAGCCTTGTGGTCTGTTCAGAGTTTATCCGAGCACGTAGGCCAGACTTTGCAGTGGGTTATGGATAAAAGCTTTTTTTCATGGGCTTTTCTGGGTAGTTGTACCATTAGCTTCCATTGATTTGTTGTTGTTATTTTGTTTTTCTGTCTGCAGGCTTCCATTGGCAAACAGAGAGTATATCAAAACAGCAGGACTGCGGTCAACAGTTGCGTGGGCCATGGCATCTCTGGCTGAAATCAGTGTGAGTGTTTGTGGCAAAGATGTAGAGCCCTGAATGAAGGGGAGTTGCTGCTTGTTAGGGCTGGAGCTGGCAGCTTTGAAGAAGTGTGGTGATTTTAATGCCCCATGCTGTAATGCATGTGGACAGGGTTTGCCTTATCTGTGATCAGAATGTGCTGTCACCTGGTGTTCAACCAGATATCTACTGTAATCCCAGGTCCCTCTCAAGAGAGGTGCTATTCCTTGTAGAGATGTATGTCTAAATGGCAAGATTTTTTCATTGTCTAGGCTTCAAACCTTGTTTGGGGTTGTTCTCCCAAGGGAAAACAGAAGCAAGTGTAATGTTTGCCACAGATGAATTTGGTACCAATATCTGTCTGCAGTCCACTCATAATTTTTTTTCCCTTAAATGTCACCTCAAGGCTAGATGCATTGTCTTTAGTGAAACTCTTAATGCTTTTTACCATATTCTCTTGCAAGCAAGTCTGGCCTGGTAAACCAGTGACTGTTGCTACCTACACTGGCTTCAGTGGGAGTTTGTAGGTGATCTGTACATCGCTAAGTAAGCTTTGTCATGGGGAGAGGAGTCTGTCTTGCATGGGATACAGTAACCCCTTTATTTTTGTAGGCAGGTGCCTTTGTGCTGGATCCCATGTGTGGGCTAGGAACGATACTGCTGGAAGCTGCCAAAGAATGGCCTGTGAGTATCACAGTGGCAACAGGCAGGACCTCTGTAAGGTGGCTTGTAGTTGCAGCCGGAAAAATCTGTACCACAGTTATACCAAAGTGTGTTACTGGAAAGCTGGAACCAAACTGATCTTTCTAGGCAGTTGTTAGAAGTGTTTTAGTACAAACATTCCTCCACAGGAATGTGAAACCAAGTCCTAGATACTTGTGCAGGCAGGTGCTAGCAGCCCTGTATTTATACTGCAGAGTTTGTGTGAGGCAACCATGGACTTTTAAAACTGCCTGGGCTTATCCTGGGAAAGCAGGTGTCAATGTGACAGTACAGTCAGTAGTCAGTATTAGAGGCAGCATGGCTGTCTGTAGCTAGCTGGGGTCTTGCTTTTAGAACATAGTCTCAGTATTTCTGTAAGTTACAGGTGTCATGAGCAGACCAGAACCTGAAATGAGTGAAGATAGCACATCCTTCCCCCATTCCTCTGGGTCTGTATTTGCTCTGTGTAATGATAGTAGATCTCCCAGCAAGGGGTTCGTCTTGGAAGAGGTGTGCAACAAGGCAATTCTGAGAAGGGTTTATAAAATAAATACAGCTGTTTGTCAACTAAATGTCTTTTCTCTTTCTCTCTGAACAGGAAGCCTGTTACTGGGGTGCTGATATAAGCGATTCACAGTTAGAGGGTGCAGATGTGAATATTAGGACTGCAGGCTTGATGGATAAGATTGAGTTACTTAAAGCTTCTGTGAAAGGTATGTCATGACTTCCCAAGGGAGACATGTTTGAAGTTTTTTTGTGGTTCTGGGGTTATACAGGTAGTGTAGGCTCTCTTGAGGTGATGTGTAGTAGAGCTAACTCTCAACAAATAGCTGAGTAGTGACTCTGTAGTGCTAGTGAATGGATAATTATTTATTCTCCCCTCCCCACCCCCAAACTTAGGCAAGAATAAACTCAGCAGAGGACAATGAAAATAAAAATTGTCAGACATGGGCAGTGGTTGTCTGTCGTAATGGTAACTTAATGAATACCACAAAGAGTACATACTAGGTGAGAGTTCTTTGTCTCTTATGGGAACACAAGGAGAAATCTGGATAAAATGTTGCTTGTGTAATAGTAGGGACTCATTAAGCTTAGCGTTGAATTGTTGATGTGTTGCAGTAGGCATATTTTAAATGACGATGCCTTTCTCCTGGAAGAGGGAATTTGTTTGCTCTCAGTTCATGAGCTAGTCTGGGGAGAAGATAATAATTATATGACCTTCTTCTGGACCTCAAAGCCTGAGTCTATAGTTCTATAAGAAATCCATGACGGACAAAAGCTGGGTGTTTTGCCCTGTGCATGGGTGATCAAGTATGCATATTTTTTTTTTTACCTTGCAATGTCTATTTCTTACCAGAATGGTAACAAATATTATTTCTTTTTTATAAGAATATATATATAGCATTATTTCTTACTTGATAGCTGTGATTGGGCTTGGCTTCTATGATAATGGAAGGTACTTTGATGTCAGGCTTTTCTAATACTGAATAAGTAATTGGTGTCTTAGTCACTGGTCAGAAGCTGTTATTTCTGCAGGTCCTTGAGGACTGTAGGTAACTTGTCCTTCCATTTGTAGATAAAATTGTTATACAATTGTTGTGCTGCAAGTGTTGATCCAAGAGTGGTCCAAGAAACCTCTCCAGCCACTTCTGGAAAGGCTGGCATAGAATTGCAGCAGGGTTTAGGTGAGAAGGGACCACTGGAGGTCTTTAGTCCTGTTATCTGCTGGGAGTGGGGCTAACCCCAAACCTGGGTCAGGTTGCTCAGGGCCTTTTCCAGTTGAGTTTTGAGCCTTCTGAGGTACAGAGAGCCCATAGTCTCGTCCTTTCACATGCTGGCTACGCTCTGGCCAGCACAGCGTGGTATGTGGCTGGCCTTCATCACCACAAGGGTGTAGTGCTGCCTCATGGAACTGACTATTCCCAGCATGCAGAAACTCTGGAGAGATACTTTAAAGACAGTAGGTCTGACAGAATCCTAGTGATTCTGGCTGTTCAGTCCAGTTCAATCTGAACTGGATTCCTGGGGAGAGAAAAGGGGGATGGAGAGGAATTTAACATATGGTTCCTTGCCATTCATATGTGTGTATCTGAACATCTGTGCTAAGTAATGTGCTTGCAAGCTTAGCTCTCCTTTTGCATCTTGATTGTAAAGATATATGGTGAGTTGAGAAGCAGCAGTTAGTTTGGAACCATGCAGTGTCCTGTTAGGAGTCTTACACTCATACCACCTGTAACAAACATATCACCAGTATCAGGGAATCTGCAAGCTAAACCACACTCTCATGTATTTGTCTCTTCCCAGTCTGCATTGGGTTGGTGGCTTTATAGTGCTGTTTCTGAAGATAAGTACAGAAGGAGCTAGGAATCTGGGTGCATAACCCACAAAAGAGCTGGCAGACAGTTTTGTAAGGTGAATGGTGGCATAGTTGCTGTTCATTTTTCACATAGTCAGATGTAAAGACCTGCCTTTATTCTGCAGCATTGCCGTTGCCTTCAGAAAGCTTTGACGCTGTGATTTCGGATATTCCGTTTGGGAAGAAGTTCAAGATCAGAAAAGACATAGAGCTCCTTCCAGATATTCTTCAGGAAATGGAGAGGTACGTGTGGTCTTTGCTGTGCTTGGAGTTTGGTGTAAATGTCATGATGGTTTGCAATCCTAGGTGTTTGGTCAGCTTCAGGTTTGGTTTATTCCAAACTCTCCAGTTCTGTAGTCTGATCCTGTGCAGGCTGTGAAAGTCTGAGTCTTTTACTCGTCCCTTAAAGGCTGTTGTGGCTTGTCTTGCAAGCTGTGGACGTGCTGATGGCAGTGCAAAGTGACAAGGAATGAATTTGTTGTCTGAGCCACACTCAGAAATATTCTTTACAAGGCAGAAAGGAGAAAGAGGAGAGGATGACCTTGACAAACTTTGCCAGGCAAATAAAGCAATACTCCTTTCTCTGTTGAGGTCTGCTTGTAGAAAATTATAGGCTTTCTTTTTGGGTTCAGAACCAAGCTTTTACCAGCCTGCCTTGTCGGGAAGGATCTCAGACCAGAAAATGGTGGTATGCATTTTCCTTTCTGTTAGTGTGTACTGGAACATCCAGCTAGCCACCTGGTCTGCTTTTAGATGCCTCCTTTCATCTCTCACCCTGTCCCCACCACTAAGACTTTTCAATCCGCTTGCTGTGAACAGAGCCAGGATAGT